ATTTTTTTATATTTCAATGCCAAGGTAATGGAATACTGGTTATCTAGGAATATCAACCCAAAAGCATGGAGAAATGGACTAGTCTCTTACTTGGCTGTTGTCTTTTTAATCCAGTCCTCACACTCAATGCCTCCACAGAAGGGAATCTGCACAATCTGGGAGAATTTATATGAATTAGGCAAATTTCTGGTTTTGATGGGGAAAAAAAAGGAACCAAAGAGCTCTGGATCCACATTGTTTACTTACTCTTCCCTGGTCCAGATCTTTCTGGAATTGCTCCATTGTATCAGCCACAACCATGTGTTTGTGCAAATCATCAGAGGCCCTGTGACAAGTTCAAAAATCATAAGTCATCCTGCATTTGATGGAAATGTCAGAACTCTAATGTGGTAGAATGCAGGTGCTTGTACTGTTTAAAGAGGTTGTTCTGGATCTCTTCCAGAAGGTTTAGGATTTTCTTCTCAGCGTCAGCCTCTGGCACAGTGAGCTTTTCTCCCGTGTCTCTTCTTACTGCTACAAACCGGCCCTGTTTTAAGTCCTTTGGCCCAACCTCCAACCTTATGGGCACACCCTGCATTCAGACAACGCAAAGAAAGAAAAATGAAGTCAGACATAAAGCCTTTGTGCATTAGTGTGTGATTATGCTGTGAGAGAGAACCTCCATACCTTCAGCTCCCAATGATTGAACTTCCAGCCAGGCGAGTAATTATCACGCAGGTCTGCCTTGACTCTGATGTCGGCCTTCTCTAGTTTAGAAAGATATTTGGAGCACTAAGCCTCCACAGTGGTGGTGTAGTCTCCTCCTGCAAACTTCTCCTTCTCGGTTTTCTTGCCCTTGACCACAGGGATGGCCATCAGCTCCTGGTAGACCCGAGCATACAGGTCTAAAATCTGCAGAACCTGCGCACATAACAGATAAGAGTGGGAGGGTCAGAAACATGGTACAAATTACTTCTGTATCTGCATGGAAATAGTAAGTTGTGAGTGAGGTGTGATAGATCACATCTAACCTCCTCTGCAGCTTCCTCTTTAGTGGCAAACGCTGTGTGTCCCTCCTGCCAAAGAAACTCTCTGGTCCTCAGGAAGGGCTGGGGGTGTTTGAACTCCCAACGCTAAGAAAAGCAAAAAGCAGAATGAAGACATGGGCCCTTAATTTAGATGTGTTTGCAAAAGTGTGCTACTGAGGCTAAAACTGACCACGACGTTGCACCACTGGTTGAGTTTGATTGGCAGGTCTCTGTGTGACTGAACCCACTTGGCATAGGCAGGATACATCACTGCATCAATGAAAGAAGAAATTGAATTAATTAAATGGATAATAAAAAGATGATAATCCAGTCCATTTAAGATACAGCTGCAGTTGCTCACCTGTCTCACTAGTGGGACGCACAGCGATGGGCTCCGCCAGCTCTGTCTTTCCTGATCTTGTCACCCAAGCAACCTAAAGACATTTTTCTTTGAGTTGTAGTTCTCTTTTCCACACATTGATAAGTCCAAATATTACATTATATGATCCACCATAATGATCTCATTTCAATTATCCACTATAAAAAGTATGCATTTATTTAATCAAACATTATGCAAAAATAATAATATTGTGAAATAGTTAAATTTTTTTTTACATGTTTTAAAATGTAATTTATTCCTGTGATAAAGCTGAATATTCAAAAGCCATTACTCCAGTCTTTAGAATCACAAGATCCTTCAGAAATCATTCTAATACGCTGATTTAGTATACAAGCAAAATATTTTTTATTTTTATCAATGCTGAAAACAGTTGTGCAGCTTCATTTTCGTGAAAATGTGATACATTTACATTATAAATGTCTTCGCTGTCATTTTTAATCAATTTATTGCTGAATAATATTAATGAAGTATATATATATACGTATCAAAAGTATCTCTAGCCTAGTGGCCTAGTGTTGCTCATATCCTTTCATTCCCATCTCCTCACCTCTGGAGCAAAATCTGCAATGTGGGTCTTCTCTTTCTCCAGGGCAGCCTGAGAGACAAACATGGGGAAGTAGCAGTTCTCCACACCCAGCTTCTTGATCTCCCGGTCAAAGAATTCTTTGATAGCCTCCCAGATAGAGTAAGACCAGGGCCTCAACACGTAACAGCCACTGACGTCGTAATACTCGATCATCTCAGCCTTGGTGATCACCTGAAAACAGCAAAAATGATGATTTTTACACAGCTGAAAAACAAAAACATTTACAAAATCATGTGAACAAAGTGTACCTGCGAGTACCACTCAGCCAGGTTTTCCTCTTTCTTTGCCTCCAGTCCCAGCCTACATTTGAAAAACACAGTAAGTGTATGAATGTACTGTCCCTGCTTGCAAACACCACATTTCCTAAATGCAAAACTGAAATGTTCATAAACACAGCTTACAGTCTGAAAAAGACATTCAGACACAACAGAGTGTGTTTGGGGTTTAGTCTTGGAGGACAAAACCAGTTGTGGCAGTACTAAAACAACTGCAAAACTTTCTCAAGTCTCCATTCAAAGAGTTATCAACATCTTGTGGAACCACAAAGGGCATTTGACAGCTCAGCGCTGCGATTTTGCCACTCACCGTGTCTGTTTCTTTGGCCCCTGGCCATCTCCTGCTCCACTTGCTCCAGAGTCTTGAACTTGAGGTTTCTCTCCTCCTTTCTGTTGCTTGCGTCCTCCTCCTCCTCCCTGCTTCTCAGACTTGTTCTCTCGGTCCTTGCGGCTCTTGTCTTCTCCTCCCGTGTTCCCTGAGGATCCTGGGGTGGTCACAGGCTTGTACTCCTCACCAGTGAGGGCTTTATACTGACCCTTCAGTTCAAGCAGAGTCTTCACTGCTTTATCAACTTGCTCCTAAATACAGATTAGAATCACATGAGCACAAAAATAAGGCCAGATTAATAATTAAATATTGCAAACAAATGCAAACCAACCTTAGGAGCTTTCTCTGCTTTAAACCGTCTCACTTGCTCCCCCTGCTGGGCTATGTCTGCAAACAGTGCTTGAGCCTGAGGGGAGGAGCTGGATTGAGGTTGGGAGGAGCTAGATTGGGGTGGGGCAGGGCTAGATTGTACAGGGGCGGGGCCTGAAGATGGAGGCACACCTGCTTTGTATTCCTGTCCAGTTTGCTGCATGTACTCTGCTTTAAGACTGAGCAACTCCTTCACAGCAGCATCTATCTGATCCTGTAAAAATATGAGCAATTGTTGAATACTATTTACAATCATTTTAAAATCAGATCCTTAAAAATTCAGAGCAAAACTGAAATAAGTCAAAACCTTGGGTGCTTTTTCTGTTTTCAATTTCCTCACAAGTTCTCCCTGTTGAGAGACGCGATCATAAATAGCCTTAGGAGAGCTGTCGGAGGAGCCAGACACTGCAGCAGGCTGAACTGGAGTCAATGGAGATGCACCAGCAGGTGGAACTCCGGGTTTGTAGTCCTGCCCTATCACCTGCTTATATTCTTCCTTCAGAACCAAAAGCTGCTTCACTGCAGCATCAATCTGGTCCTGGGGAGAAAAAAAATTATGCTTCTTTATTTAGAAGTAAATTGCAAATTACACACCATGATTTCTGAAATCACTATAGCAATAAAGAAATTAAATACAATAATAGTAGTAGTAGTAGTAGTAGTAGTACTGCTTATATTCTTCCTTCAGAGCCAAAAGCTGCTTCACTGCAGCATCAATCTGGTCCTGGGGAGAAAAAAAATTATGCTTCTTTATTTAGAAGTAAATTGCAAATTACACACCATGATTTCTGAAATCACTATAGCAATAAAGAAATTAAATACAATAATAGTAGTAGTAGTAGTAGTAGTAGTAATAATAATAATAATAATTTGTTTAAAATAGATTATGCATATATAATAGGGCTGTGCGATATTGAAAAAAAATGCGATACGCGATACCTTGTTAAAACTGCGATATTCAATATGCGATACGATATTGCTTAAAGTGTGAAAAATCAATTTAAATTATATTTTAATATATTTAAAAATGAAAATTATATAACCAATTTGTTTCACATTCTTTCTTGGAGAAGAAAGAATCACTACAACTTCTGAAAGTGACCAGCAGTATTTTAGCAGTACATAAAAAGTAATGTCACAAATCAGAAAATGTAATTTTAACATCAATGTGAATGACAAAAAAATGAATGACACTAATTTTATATCATTGTGACTGCTTTCCATACACTTTAAGTACTTCATATACCACAGCAAAAACTATAGTCTGAAAGTGAAGTGAACAGTCAGTAAAAAAAAGAAAGAAAAAGGGGAAAAAAAGAACAAATACACAATTTACAAGCATAGATAAAATAAACAGTAGTATTCAGGTACAGAAATTTAATAATTAAGTGTAAAATAACACTGCATTGTGTTCACTGTATGAATTAAATTTAGATTAATCTTTGTTATAGCTGTTTTGTTGTTTGATTAACATTAGTGACATATTCAGCAGCACGTATTTATAGGCTGCTGTCCCTTTAAATCCGACTGCACGGATCCAGTATAATGATAACGATTTCTTTCTCAGCTGTTTACATGAATTTAAAACACAACTGACTGCGTTTACGAGAATGATCGTCGAGACGGGTACTATTGACATAATTCTGTGTGTATGTGTCTGTTCAAACATAAGGAGGAGATGCGAAAGACGAATCAACTCGGTCTGAAACGCGTCTCTCTGTGT